ATGTCTCTTGGGAAGTGAGGTAAGTTCCCATGTGGCATTCTTCTCGATGGCCTTGATTTCTTCATCCATCGCATCTCTCCATTTCTTTTCTTGTACCGCTTCTTGAAAGCTCACTGGTTCACAATCGGCAAACAAACAAAATAATATAAGATTATCTTGTCGTTCAGTTACCCCATAGAGATCTCTAAGGCTTCTTGTGCGTTGCACAACTCTTTCACTTTGACTCCCACTTGACGATGATGAAGGTGATGAGTCTCCTTGAGTGGTTGATGTTAGTGAAGTGGGTGGAGTTGCAAGCTCTTGTTGAGATTCATCTAGTTGCTCTCCCTCATTGTCTGCTCATCTTCTTCAAACTGAGGAAAGAAATTGAAGTTATCTGTATGAAAGTTAAAATCCCATTCTCCTTCTTCGTTGAAGACCACATCTCGACTAATCATAAACTTCTTATTGTCTGGATTGTACAACTTGTAGCCCTTCGAATTAGCATCATAGCCGATGAAGATAAAACTCTCGCTTTTATCATCAAGCTTCGTTCTTCTCTCATCTGGTACGTGAACATGGGCTATACTTCCAAAGGTTCTCAAGTGGGAAATGCCAGGCTTTCTTCCACTCCATGCCTCTTGCGGTGTCTTTCCCCATACACTTCTTGTTGGAGATCGATTTGACAAGTAGACTGCACATGATACTGCTTCCGCCCAAAATTCTTTGGGTAGTTTCTTGCTTTTGAGCATGCTTCATGCCATGTCGAGGATTGTTCTATTCTTTCTTTCTGCCACACCATTTTGCTGGGGGGATCTAGAAACTGTCATTGGTCGACGAATTCCATTTGCTTCACAAAACTCTTGAAACTCCTTGGAAGTAAATTCTCCACCTCGGTCGGATCTCATGGCTTTGATCTTTCTATCGCTTTCTCTTTCCACTGCTGCTTTAAACTTCTTAAAGACTTCGAAAACTTCTGACTTCTGTTTCAAGAAATATACTCAGGTTTTTCTTGAAAAATCATCAATGAAGAGAAGAAAATAGTTACTATTACCGAGAGAGCTCGGCTTGATCGGTCCACACACATCAGTATGGATGAGCTCAAGTGGCTTCTTGGCTCTTGTCTCTGACTCCTTTGGAAAGCTTTTCCTGAATTGTTTCCTAGCTAGACATCCTTCACAAAGCTGATCAGGATGGTTGATGCGAGGTAGTCCCTTCACCATCTCCTTCTTAGATAGCAGCTCTAGACCTCCAAAATTGAGATGCCCAAATCGAAGATGCCAAAGCCATGATGCATCTTTATAGCAAGCTTTCAGGCACTTTGCAACATCATTTTGCATGTTGATCAAGAACATTCTATTATTTGACATCGGCACTTTAGCAATGAAGTTATTCTTATCATCTTTTATAGAAAGATTATAATTATTCATATAAATATCGTAACCTTTCTCTACCAGTTGCCCTAAACTTAAGATGTTACTTTTCATATTGGGCACATAGTAGACATTTGAAATAAATTGATGTCTCCCATCTTTCAAACGGATAAGAATATTACCTCTCCCTTTCACTGCTATTGTGGAATCATCTCCAAACGAAACATTTCCGCTTACTGACTCGTCTAGCTCCACGAACATGTCTTTCCTTCCACACATGTGATTGCTTGCACCACTGTCAAGATACCAGGAATTTGCTTGGCCACCATCAGTTTCCTTTCGTGCTAGAAGAAGAGTTTCTTTGCCATCTGTCTTTTCCTCCACGTAGTTAGCATTCTCCTCAATTTTGTTGTTGGGAGCTCTACATTCTGAAGCATAATGCCCAAACTTTTGACAATTATAACATCGAACTTGAGATTTGTCACGCCTTGAGTTCGGATTGATTCTTCCACGGCCTCGTATTGAGCTTTCTCCTTTTTCATAGTTGTTGTTGGAATTATTGTTGTTGTAATTCCAGCCTCGTCCACGACCTCGACTTCCACCTCGTCTATGGCCTCTACCTCTACCTTGGCCACGTTGGTTTCTATCATTGCGTTGGCTTTCATGCATATCTTTGAGTTGCAGCTTGAGAAGTTGCTCAGTAAACTCATGCTTCTTCTTATGCTTCTCTTCGTATGCTTGCAATGATCATTGGAGTTGCTCGATCGTCATTTCTTCCAAGTCTTTAGTTTCTTCAATCGTCACGACGATGTGCTCAAATTTAGGATCCAACGAACGAAGTATCTTCTCTATTATCCTCACATCGTCTAACTTTTCACCATTTCTTTTTAATTGATTAGAAACAGCTACTAATCTTGAGAAATAATCTGAAATAGACTCAGATGCTTTCATGTTTAAGAATTCGAATTCACCTCTTAATGTTTGGAGACGAACCTTCTTCACTTGCTCGGATCCTTTGTAAGAGGTTTGTAGCTTCTCCCACGCTTCCTTGCTAGAGCTTGCACTTGAAATCTTTTCAAAACCATCATCATCTAATGCTTGATAGATGAGGTAGAGAGCCTTCTTGTCTCTCTTTCTTGAATCCTTCAAAGTTGTCTCCTTGTTCATTGACTGCCTTTGACAATGCTGATTGGGGAAGCAACGTGGATGATAGAAGGAGTATCACAGGGTTTTGTGTGTACTTTGGCGGCAACCTAGTTGCTTGGAGCTCGAAATGACAACGTTCGGTATCTCATTCCACGACTGAAGCTGAATATTGAGGGCTTGCTTGCTGATATAGAAGTTGTTCTTTGCGGACCACCAAACATTTGGAGTGAGAACACAAGTGTTGTCTCTATGTGTGCAAATCCGGTGTTTCATGCTAAATTCAAGTTTATTTTGATTTATTAAAAGTATGACTACATTGAGAGAATATGTAAATAACATATAGCAAATATATGATTATACCAAAATATTTAACGACATGTAACTCATTGTATCATATCTTAATTAAATAAGAACGAATGTGATCATATAGTATATATTTTTAAATCTGTAACTAAAATTGGACAAAACACAAACATAAGTAATCATCTTTGTAGTTAACCCATAATTAAATTATCCTAAATATAATACTTTTGAAGACCCAAACTGTTAATATCAAAGAAAATAATATATAATATAGTTAGCCGTGATATCTTTAGCACATCGATTTCACCCGTATCCCGTGAATATACACAGCTAGCCTTCTTTGAATGCAAGTAAAAGTCGTCATCTTTGAATCGCCAAATCAAAACCAAATGTGACAGAAGAGAGCCGTGGCTTTATTCTAATTTCTTAATTATTTTTCCTTTCATTAATTTATAAAATAACACAAATTGCATGAAAATATGGACTAGTGTATGTTCTCATAGTTGTTTGCAACCTGTCTTTTTTTTATATACTCATATTTCCATAAAAACTTCCATATATTTATATAATTTAATAATGTGTCAAAAGTATTTTTAATCTTATTTTTATCGGTGATATTTTTAATCTATTAATCATTGGATTTAGTAATAGAACCTCACTATTAGTTATCGCAGGTTTTAATTACGATAATATCATCTTTAATGATATTCCTCTAACTTTGTTTTCATTATTTTAAACTAATTAAGTAGTATCAATGACAGTGACAGAGTTATGTTTAAGTGAGACTAAAATCTAAATTTTCTTCGATAATTATCTATTTTTTTCAATTGTGTAGACTCAAAATTTTATTTGTGTTTATCTCGTATAAAAATTTTTATGTTGCTAATATATATTTGTGTGTGTGCGTGCGTGTGAGTGGTGCACCCATCTTAAAAAAATATTTTTAAATCCGTCACTACTCAGTGGTAAAAAATTATTATTATTTTTTAAATGATACATGTTCAAGTAGAGTTGTCTCGGACATTTTTGGAGGTCTGGGTAAAAATTCAGAAACAGACTTTTAAGAATAAAAATATCTTATATTACTTTAAACAATCAATTTAATATTACATTAATAAATCCTCGATAATCTCTATAGTATGTGATTAAAAGTTCTCAGTTGACACTTCCACTCTTTCATAGATTGTGTGTTCAATACCAATTAGGAGCAAAATTTTCCCTAATAAATAAGAAAAATACAATTTAAATGAATTAATGAGAGATACATAAATATATGAAAATTTGAGAATTTCATATGATTTAAAAATTTATGGGCCTCAATTATAAAGATAAAAAATGAGATTGAAAAAAATTAGAGACACCGATTATAAAGATAAAAACTAAGATTAAAAAATAGGAGACTTAATTATAAAAATAGAAAGTATGACCCTTAACAATAGCTCAGGGTGCTCTCCCTATTAGTTGACTCTAGATTCGAGTAACTGTAATTATAGGATATAAATGTGGTGTCAATAAGTTAAGAAAAATACTAAACAAATACAATCTTTTAAACACTCCAAATATTAAAAAATATTTTCATTTACTTTTAAATATAATAAACATGGATAAACCATAAATACAGCAATCCAAATGAACACGTAAGTTAATCCTAATTTGCCACTTTTTTTTATTAAAAAAGGTAAATTATATATTTAGTACCTAAACAATTAATTTTGATCATTTTTAGTATCTAAACTTTCAATTTTTAAAATCATACCTAAAATTTAGTTTTTGTTTCATTATAGTACCTCAATTCAAAATTTAATATTAAATTTTAAAAACAATTGAAAGTTTAGGTGCTAAAACGAACCAAAATTGATAGTTTAGTTACCAAATGCGTTAAGTTTTTAATGGCTAGTTACTTGAATAAAAAAATCTAAACATTAAGTATGGTTTTAAAAGCTTAAAAGTTTAGATACTAAAATGGACCAAAATTAATAATATAAGTACTAAATGCTTAGTTTACCCTAAAAAATCAACTAGCTAGTTTTGTTCATTTAAAAAAAAGCGAACACATGATTGCCAGTGATTCTTTCTGAAAACCGTGTTCTATACTGGAAAATTTTGACCTTTGCACGTCTCAAGCTCAACATGGCCAACCCCAAGTCCATTATATATACGTATGACTCACAAGCCCATATCAATACTCACAAGCTTAGAAAAAAGAAAAGAATATAAGATGATGATGAGAACGAAGGTTATGTTAGTTCTTTATCTCATGATTCTTCTTCCTCTTGCTTTAGCTCAGCTAAAAGTAGGGTTTTACAGTGCTAGTTGTCCACGAGCTGAATCCATAGTTCAAGCCGCAGTCCGAAAACGGTTCGACACTGATAAATCCATCACTGCTGCTTTGCTTCGCATGCATTTTCATGATTGCTTTGTCAGAGTAAGCTGCCTTAATATTTCCGTACCCTTTTTCTTTAAATCTATTTCGTATACGGATTTAAATTGCGGTTACAGTCTTATTCTCGATTACATTTGCTTGAGATTCTACTTTTATGTAGGGATGCGACGCATCGATTCTCATAGATTCAACAAGGCAAAACCAATCGGAGAAAGTCGCCGGCCCCAACTTGACAGTACGAGGGTACGAGCTCATCGACGAAGCAAAGAAAGCCCTCGAATCGGTTTGCCCTTCCAAGGTCTCATGCGCAGACATTATAGCGCTAGCCACCCGGGACTCCGTCGTCCTTTCCAGCGGACCGTTTTACGCCATTCCAACGGGAAGAAGGGACGGTCGGGTCTCGAATCCCAATGAAGTTAACTTACCAGGCCCATCATTGCCGGTTGCACAGGCTTTCCAATCATTTAGGAATAAAGGCATGACAATGGATGATATGGTTACACTTCTAGGTGCTCACACAGTTGGTGTGGCTCATTGTGTGTTTTTATCGGGTCGGATTACTGGGAGCGGTGACCCGACTATGGACCCGGCTTTGGTGGCTAAGATAAGGGGGATTTGTGGTGCAGCAAATGGTTCGAGCCCTGACCCTAGTGTATTTCTGGACCAGGGCACTTCCTTCGGTTTTGATAACGAATTTTTCAGGCAGATTCGTTTGAAGAGAGGAGTGTTGAAGATAGACCAAGAATTGGCTAATGATAGATTATCTAGGCGAATCGTTTCGCGTTTTGCATCAAATGCTACTTTGTTTGCAAACAGGTTTGCTCAGGCCATGGTGAAGATGGGAAATATTGAAGTTCTTGTCGGGAATGCTGGGGAAATCAGGAAAAATTGCAGAGTTTTTAATTAATCCCTATTTTTTAAGTTTCTTCTTCTTTTTTCAAATAAGGGTGGTCGAGTAACATGTAAGAGTGTTGGACTAAATAAATGACTTCAAACTTGAATCTCCAGGTTTTGTTCCACATCCATTGGCTTCCAAAGAGTTTTCTTCCCTCTTTGTTGAAAGACCAATAATGTCTCATTTTCCTTATGGAACAAATGTAACGTGATTGGTTTTATTGACTTGGATTTTTAAAGCCATTGTCTCATTTACGATGATTTCTATGTATATGAATACGAAATAAATAATAGGGTGAAGTACATGAATGGTCCCTCGAGTATATGGTGTTATTTTGTTGAGTCATTCTGTTATTAAAAGTTATAAAATGCTCTTTGACTATAGAGCGTTTCTTTGTTGAGTCTCTCAACTATTAAAAGTTACAAATTGGTCACCTAATTATTCACATATTCCAAATTCATCATTTTTTGTTAAAAAATTGACAGTTGTCTTTGTTAAACGTTGAACTACTGACCGGAATATGATAACATATGATCATAGAATCTCAAACGAATATACAATTCAAATTATTCTGGGATAAGATGTTATCATATCTCAATCACCAAATTAAAAAACAATTCAGATGACCGTCCATTTGTAACAAAAAACAATGAGTTTGGAATATATGAATGATCAGGTGACCATTTTGTAACTTTTAATAGTCGAAGGATTCAATAAAGTATCACTCTATAGTTAGATGACCATTTTATAATTTTTAATAATTGAAGGACTCAACAAAGTAATATCACATAATTGAGGGACAATTGTGTACTTTACCCTATTATTCTATAACTTTTAATATATTCTCAAATCAAAGCACACACTGCATTAAAGAAAGAAAAATGTGTATGGAAAGATTCCTGACATAAATAAAACGTACAAATTTGATAAGTTAATAGTGAATTTTATAGTATACTTTGAGTATATAATGAAGAGAGGGATGAAGATGGGGTTAGCACGAATCTCAAGAAGGGCTGATTCTGTGTCTTACTTTGTTTAATTTGGTGTTGGTTTTTGGAGGTAGTGATTTCATTCATCTGGTTTCGGGTCGGCGCCAACAGCTCCTGCCTTCACTCCACACGCACACAGGTTCTCTCACCATCGCGGATGGATCCAAACGAAGACGTTAGGGTTATATTTTTATTGAAAATCTCTTTTGGTCCCTTGAGAAAAGTTTTTCATCCCTTAAAATTTTGTGTTGACCCCTAATATAAATTCTTGCTTTCATCCCTATTGGTTTCCGTTAACTTTCTACTAGAGTAATAAATAAAATTATTAGAATAAAAGCTATTTGTTTGAGTTGATGAAAATTTTATTGCCTGCCGGGAGTCTTTATGGGTTGTGTGGGTGAAAGCTTACGTGATCGAGGAGAAGGATTTTTGGACTGCGGAGATTAAACAGCATACTAGTTAGAGTCCGCGAAAGATTTTGTTGCTTCGGGGAGAAGCCCATCCTATCTGTCACGTTTTAATTCGGAGGGATGTGGCTTTGAGGGATATTTGGAAAGAAGTTCGAAAGAGGGGACAAGATGATTTGCATAGACTCATCTGATTCTCGATGCACATCCCCAAGCATGTGGTGATCTCTTGGTCGGTCATTCTCAATAGGTTGCTAGGGATCAGTTGCTAAAGATGGGGTTATCGGTGTGCGATCAGTGTGTGTTATGCGATACAGGTGCTAAATTCGGGACCATCTCTTCTTTAGGTGCTCTTTCTCAGTCGACATCTAGAGCAAGTAAGGTGTAAAAATTTGACCCGACCTGTAAAACTGACTGAAACCGACTCGAGTTAAAACTGTTTTTGACATGCACTGTGACGATCCGAAACCGACTTGAGTCGGAACTGATGTTGACCTGAACCCTAGTTGGACCTGGAAATTGTGGATTTGAACTTGACTTGCATCCGAGCTGAGAACGACTTGAACCCGAATTGAACCAAAAATATGATATCCGAACCCAAACTGCATCCGACTAATATGAATCCGAACCCGAGATTGACTTGGTAAATAACTGGTATTACCCGACCTGTTTTCAACCTGACCTGTAATTGACTCAACCTATAAATGATCCGACATGTTGTTAAAGTGATCTGATATTATCCTGACTTATAAGTGAAGTTACAATTAATATAATTATGTTGTTTTAAATTTATAATAAACTTTTGATAATTAAATTAATATGATTTATTTTTGAAATTTTACCTAAATTTTTATGATAATCAAATTAATATGATTACTTTTTTGAAATTTAGTTTTATATTAATTATAATTTGTATATTATAAATTTGATTTTTATGTTAATTCAAATTCATAAATTTCTTTATATTTCTTATATTATAAATTTTATTTAAAATCACTAAATTATATTTAAATATTATCTTATTAAACTTGATTTTATTAAATTATATTAACTAAATTAAAATATTCATAAATATAATTTACTTTTAATGTGAAAATTGAATAATAATTTAAGTAAATTGAACATGATATTTTAAAATCAAAATATATTAATTGAAATAGACTTATTAAAAATTAAAAACTTGAATAACATTACAAATACTAAATAAATATTTATAAATTAAGGTAATTTTATACACTTGAAAACACTAAAATTATAATAAAATCAACTAAACAAAAATAAATGTATGTTGAAATAAATGCTCTCAGATCTTATAGTTAATTTTTACAAGGCTAAAAAGCCTAACTATACGACCAGAAATATCATCATCAAGCATATACCTAATGCTGCCAACATGTTTAATTATGGGCAATTTATATCGAGGATCAAGTAAAATAGCAAAAGACAGAATCATTGAGTGATCAGACCAATATTTCTCAAATAGTTCAAGTATGGGTCTAGCCATTGCAGAAATACCTTCACATGGATCATTATGAGCATCACACAATAGTTTTTCAATTGAAAACAACATTAGCCAAATACAAGTTAGAAGTGGGATACTTAGAACCAGAGAACAGAGTAGTAATTTCATAAAAAGGCTCAAGAAAATCACAGATTGTTTGAACAATTTTCCACTCTTGATCAGTAATGAAATCTAACTCATTTTCCCTATTAACAAACAAATTAATTGTTCTAGCCTCAAGTGCCCTATGAACCATCAAGTAAGTAGAATTCCATCGAGTAGGAACATCCAATACTAACATACCAGAGAAAGAAGTATCACAGTCTTTAACAGCTAATTCAAATGCACAAAGTCGAGAATCAGAAGAATCAATAAACTTAATAATCTCTCACGCAATTTATAAACAGAAGAATCAATTACCTTTAAACCTTTTTTAACTATCAAGTCCAAAATGTGGGCAGCACATCTTATATGGAAGTACTTACCATTGCATGGAAGAGGAGAAATGACATTCAAATCATCATTCAGTCTCCTGACCATTTTATCATTTGTAGAAGCATTATCAAGTGTAATGGTAAATACTTTTTTTCAAGACCCCACTCACATATCATCTTTTTAACAAACTTAAATATTGACTCACCATCATGAGGAGAAGGAAAACGACGAAAATTAAGAGTTTTAGACTGAAGTTTCCAGTTATTATCAACATAATGAGCAGTAAGAGCAAAATAAGAACGTGAAGTGCATGCAGACCAACCATCACATGTAAAACAAACACGACTTAAAACAGTATGCAATGAATCAAGTGGCAATTTCTTATGTTTTTCATGCTCCAACATGCAATACTTAGTAACAATATACCTAGATATATCCTTAACAGAAGAATTAAGGTAATGATGTAAATCCCTAAGTTTTTCATGCTCAACAATACTATATGCATAACCATGACACAGAATAGCCTCAGCAAACAATTCACAGTATTTTTTTATCAAAAGAAGCTACACTAACAGGATTTTCAGCAAGAAAATTCTTATATGCTTTGCATTTCTCAGTATGCCTTTTAGGGTTAGAAGTACCAATATAAGAATCAACTTTATGCCTTTTAACTTTGCAATATTTACACTCTGCATAAACATAACCATCATCAGATTTGGTGAATGTGTAATGGTCCCAAACAGGAGAGGTTATTCTTCTAAATTCGGATGAACCAGTGGACTTCCTCTTAGAGGATTTATTTAAATCAATTGCTTCGGACAGTACATCATTGAAAAAAAACATGGTTAGTTTACATTACAACAATAAACCAGTATATCATTTACATCAACAACAATAAATCAATATATATATATATATATATATATAAACATCAATAAACCAGTATATATATATATCAAACATATACAAAGAAATGAATGGATAGTTCACCTCTTTCAGAATGATTGTCATTCTGATCTGCTGGGTTTTGACCTACAAAACAAATAAATAATAAATTAATTCGAATATTAAAATAAAATTAAAAAATGAAACAAAAAGGAATGGGAAATACATGAGTAATTCAACTCGTACGAAAAACTATCCATGAAACCGTAGGAAAAATAAAGGTTTCGAATAGATGAACACGGATGAACAATAGATGAATTTGTGGGTGTTTGAACGAAATAAACACGAAATGGTTTGTGTTTAGGTGTTTTTGAAGATCAAAGGATAATTTTGGGGAAGAACTGGATGAACAAATGAAGAACACGGAAGAATATTTGGGTGTTTGATCGAAAAAAACACGAATCGTTTCTATTGCTTCAAAAAATAACTTGTTCAAATGCCTTGTTGCTTTTTTTTGTTTTCTGATCGAGAGTCCCCCATCTTTACTAATAAGTGTTTCCTCGCTTTTAATTCTCTTATGCCTTGAATCAAGCGTCTGGTCTCTAGTGGAGTGCTCGAGTGCTGTCGGGCGTGCACGATCCTTAATTCCATGCATTTTAATCTGTTAAGCTTCTCTTTTTCATTGCTATAGGATTTGATTATTGAAATAAACACCTATGAGCTTGTGCCCTTTTATATATAATATCGGTAAAATACATAAATAGTCACGTGACTATGTAACATTTTTATTATGTCTTTATAAAATTGTAATCACAT